GTTTTGCTAATTTTATCTTTACCACCTGTTCTGCTAAATTTAGCTTGAACACATGTTGCTAATTTTAGTTACATTTTTGCTAATTTTAGCTTCATCTGTTTTGGTAATTTTAGCTACTGGTTTGGTAATTTTAGCTAATTTTTTGATCATTTTAGCTACAGTATTGTTAATTTTAGCTTTATCTGTTTTGGTGATTTTAGCTACTGTTTTGGTAATTTTAGCTACTGTTTTAACTTTAGCTTCATCATCTGTTTTGGTAATTTTAGTTACTGTTTTAACTTTAGCTTCATCATCTGTTTTGGTAATTTTAGCTACTGTTTTAACTTTAGCTTCATCTGTTTTGGTGATTTTAGCTACCTTTTTGGTAATTTTAGCTACAGTTTTGTTAACTTTAACGTTATCTGTTTTTGTGATTTTAGCTACTGTTCTGCTCCTTTCAGCATCAGCAGCCGAGTTTCTTCAGCTGAGTGTCTCGGCTGTGTTTTAGACTTTAATCATAATTAGTTTCAGTGACGAAGCTTAGAACCAAACAGCCGTTTTAATTAAAAAMCACCAACGAGCTGCGAGCTAATCTGGCTGGAGCTGGTGCCTTTGTCTGCGTTTCCATGGCAACTAATGGACACATTCGTTAAAATTTAAATAATGGCCTCTGTGCGTGCGTACCTGTGAGAGCCACAGAAACAGCACCGGGGGTTTTACTCCACTTTAATAACTCTTGTGAGACGATAGCGGCCGATTAAAATCTGGTATCAGCAGGTTTGGGCTAAAAGCTTGGGCTCACCTCTTAATTGAATCCAGCAGGAGGAAGAAGAGGAGGCAGGCTGGCTTCACCTTATCAGACCCAGTCAGAGAGGCCTGATGTCATCGTGGCTCCGAAAAACACAACCTTTTATTTGCTCTTCTAATTAAATGCAACATAAAAGCATGAATTTGTACGTTTCACAGCCGAAGCCTTGGCTGCAGCGTGGTGTCGCCTGATGGCCYTCCGCCTGGTTTCTGATGGACGTTTTTTTTTTTTCCATCTCCGTCTCCCGCAGCCTTGGCYGAGCGTTAAAAAGTGTTTCATATATTAGCAAAGTGTTTAGTCAGCAGATCTTTCTGCGGCGCTGCAGAGGACAAGTGTTCATTTCCTGAGTGATTCATAACATTTAAAACGACACAATAAAAGCATCATCTGTAACTTTAATTCATGAGCTATTATTCTATTATATTTTTACTTTTATCCTTTGTTTTATTTTTATTGCTGCGTCTTATTGTTTTTATATCTCTGATTGTTTCTCTGCAGCTTTGCACCGTTAGGCATTTTAGAAAAAATGTATTTATTATTACAGCAGAGCTGACGTGCCTGAAAAGAAGCTACGTGTTTCTTTCTTTTATTTATTTACAGCGGGTAAAATAAGTATTGAACACGTCACCATTTTTCTCAGTAAATATATTACTAGAGGTGCTAATG